CAGGAGATTCAAGGACTGAAGTGGTATCAATTCGTTCTTTCTTTCTTCTTTGTTACTATCTTCTCCACCCGTACTGAGTGAAAAGCTTAAGTGTAACTAAAGGATAAAAATGAGATTGGCAAATAACATGGTTGATTATTAGAAGTATTATATTTGTATTTTGTAATCTTTTAGATGACTTACAAATTGAGATAAAACATTTCTAATCTTGACTGAAATCTGACTTCAGAACAGAGAACATAAATATACCACATAGGGCAATAAAAAACCACTGACATTTAAAGTAAACTGAATAACTGGAACTACCTTTAAGAAAACAAGAACTTGAAATTGCTTGCTCATGTTTTCAGATAAAGTCTCCAAAATATTTTAGCTATATTTAAGTTATTAGCTTGTTTCCAAAACATTTTGTTTCTATAACTAATACCCAAAATCAAAGCAGACTGAAAATGATAACATAGCATAGTGTCCAAGCAAGAATGAGAAACAAAAGCCTGAAAACAAATAATTATTACACAAGTTTTACAGGTGTTAAATAAACATTGGAATATGTATACAAGAAAAAAACCACCTGTGCAGAGCTGAATTAAACAAAGTATTTGTTTCACAGAAATTCAGGTAACAGTCTCAAAACAGAAAAACATTCAGGAAAATTGCTCAAAGGGCTCTATAGTGCAATACAATGTATTCAGCAGTTTTCAAAATCAAATGAAAAGAAGTTATGCCTGTTTCTGATTCTCTGAAGACAACACCATGTGTCACTCATTAATTTATGGTATAATGAGCTTTACTACAGCTTATTTCAAAGATACATAGCTCATCTTGCAGAATCATTGTCACTTAATTCACAGCTCTATACTGATTTCATAACTGTTAAAGATTAATCTTTTTTTAGAACCTGAAGCTCATTTCTCCCATCCTATCTCTTTCATGTAATTTTTTCTTGTTAAATATGACAGAATACATTAAAAAATAAGCTTTTTTTTACTTTGTTATCTTAACACATAAAAGATATTTTACTTTTGTCAAGTCCTGTGCAGTTTTTGTAATAAAACAACTGGAGACATACCTACGAACATCTAAGTGAAGATACATTGAAAGAGCTACTAAATATACTTGGAATGAGTTAGGCTAAGCTGTTTACATAAAGCTAGCCAGGCATTTCCTGGAATTACCTGTTCTAATAGCAGTCCATTTCTAACATGTCACCAGATACTGTAAAGAGGTGAAACTCAAACCATTCTTTGATCTACTTCCCATGGGTTGGAGGGGAGATTCTCTTATTAAGAACTGTTATAGAGCCTACAAAGTGCCATCACGGTTTTAACAAAGTCAGCCACGCAATAATCAAAAAATGAAGACCAGTAAGCTAAAAACGCAAGAGAGTTAGATTTGGGGAAGCACGCTATTGTTTCCATATAACTATGCACATACTATTCAACAGCTATACCTGAATGTTTATGGGAATTGGGAAATAGCCATAAGTAGAGACTTTACTGGAGTCAAAAAACAAAACTGCTTTTCCAGTCAGTTAGTGACGATAAAGCACAAAATGTCATTGCACAATAATGCTGGCTGTATATGTTTTTAGAGATGACCTCATTCCCCAATCCACAACACGTTGACTGCACACAAACTATAGCATTTTGCAAGGATCAGTTAAATAATTACTGTATATGAAGAAAACTATGGAGAGAAATGAAATAAAGAATGTTTTATGTAAATATTAAATAAGTATAAATGTAAACCACATATAAGTTAGTGGTAACACCGAAAGCGCTTTTCTGGGACATTTCTATTTTATTTTTGATCATCTTTATGTTTCTTCATTTCCAGTGCCTACTATCCTTCAGTTAAGAGACCAAACACAGGTTGCGCTGTGAAAAAGGTATACCTTAATTGGAGAAATATGAAAGTATTCATACAAGCTGATTTGTGACGTATCCATTGATGACACACTCATCAGTTCTTCTTGAAGAGATTCAACATCCTTTTTGAAAAGTTCTAGCTGTGAATGCATTTTCAAAAAAATATTACTTTAAAATTTAGAGTACATAAAAGAAGCATGCATTTGTCATTGAGATACAATACATTGACTAATACAAATCATACTCTCCTGATCTTATCTTTTTAGAAAGTCACCATTTTAGAGGACATTTAAGTAGAGCTTATTTGCTGCCCTTTTGTATGAAGAAGAGGAAACGTGCATATATAAAAACAATCTGACATACATCTATTTAATAGTAAAAAAAAAATTTAAAAAATCTGTTTTTATTAAAGTTCAAATACCAAGTATTTTCAAGTAAAGGTTGGACAATTTTTACCTGGTCAAACAAAGGGCATACATATATACCCTTTTGAACACATAATACAGTGCGTAGGTTTTTAAATACAAAAAGTAGACTATTTTCTGTTATATAGAAACTATACTCTGAGAAGACCTCCATCTAGCCCTTTTCTCCTTCAAAAGACAGAGTTGCTTTACAACAGTTTTTGAAGAATTGGCCAAGTAAAAAACCCAACATTTTAAGATTTTAGAATAATAACAATTCTAAGGTTATAGTAAAAAAATACTTAACCAGTCAAAGAAAATAGAGTTGTAACTGCAAATAATGGAAGAGGTCCTTTCAGACCAGTAAACCCAAGTATCACCTGGCTACTTAAACAAGCAAAACAGTCAAGGCACTACATATTAAGTAGGGATCAAATGTAAAAATTATGCCTTGCAATTCCACTAAAAATGAAAGCGCGGAAGAGGACCTCCTCTGAACTCTGGATTCAGTGATTCAGCTCACAATGCTGATTTCAAATCATTCATCTTTCCACTGGGAGGGGAAAGAGCGGATAAAATACAACAATGTATTTTTTCCACTACACAACCATGCATTAAAAAATAAACATAATTCTTCAAACTACCACAATAATCTAGAATTCACAGGTACATCTGGTATCAACAGATGTAAGACTGTACGCCCTAGCACGCTGCAGAGAACCACCAGTTTAGACTACATATTCCCCCATGTGAAAATACAGTGACATTTCTGAAACAATTCTAAAGTCATATTATTAATGTTCATTAAATATCTGCTTTGTTTAAGGAACCCTTCAAATTTCCATATATTTCATAAGTCACAATTAGACTACTCATTCTTACTATCTTTATTTTTAAAGATGTTCAATTGAGTTTAACAAAACTGGACTCATTCAGCCTTTAAAAAAAATTATATTACCCAGTTTTGCTTCAAGAGTTTATAACATAAGAAAAGGCAGTATAGAACTATATAGACTAAGGTCTTGATTTAAAGAAAGGTGTATCTCACCAGAGAGTACTCCATTCTTTAAGTTAAAATTTTACTTAAAATTTACATTACCACCAAGAGACAAGAGTTCCTAAGTCAATAAGCAATTAATGTGTTTTGTGAGTCTTTCCAAAACTGTGGTGCCACTAGAGCTCTTCAAAGAACCCACAGGCTTCAAATTACAGCAACAAGACAGACAGACAGGACTAGGAAGAATCAACTAGATCTTCATAGATCTGACAACCCTCAACTCAAGGTAACCACTTAAGCGTTCTGTTTAACCAGACAGTACATTTAATTTTCTTTTATCACAGTCCAGAAAACAAGCTACAAACAACCCACAAAAATCAGAATCTTCTTTTTAAAATTCAAAACAAAGAACTCCATATGCTTAAGAAACAAAAGAAGGAAACTGAGGGTATATTTAATACATTATACCATGCAACAGTAGCAAATTTACTTAGATGAAAATATCTACTGAACTACAACCAACAGCAGCCAAGTCTTATATCAATTTATCCTGCTGTAAACTTACACATTCTAACAAAATTCCTATCTTGCTTGAAATGATATTCCAGAAATTAATTCTCTTGTTGTTGTACAATTCCTTCTAATTTTCAATTTATGTTTACAGTGGAGCAACTTTTTAATCTTTTCTCCTTATTTTAGTATAATCCCTGAGCAGGAATACTTTTTAAATCTCTGATGTGTAGACAGGGGGAAATGAAAGCAAAGTAAATTGCATTTCCAGCATACCTTTCACTTGCCACGATAGGACAATACCTTTTAATGCCTCATCAAAAAGGACCTTTTTGCTCTACTCATCCAGGAAGATCGTTCATGCAAATATTTCTGGTTCATTTTTCATTAGCAACATTTTTGAGATACAAACAAAACTGACACACTTTCTTCTAAATAATTTATTATCAGTTTTTTGTGTATTGACATTCAAATTTCAATACTCTTAACAAGAACAGCATGCCCAATATACCTCAGAAATGCATTTGTATCTATACAGTTTATCATCATTTTCGGTTTTCTCTGGCAAATCCAAGAAACTCTTGTTCCTCTGTTGCTTTATGGTTGTATCTGAAGTTTTATTATTTCCCAAGCAGACTACCTTGCACTATTATTATATTTTATTTCTACTGTTCCTATGTACAAGTTCCTCTCATTTTCCCTGTACAGTAATTCAATTCCCTTGCACTGCCCTCTGCTTTTCACTTAGAATCAACATGCCAATTACATCATCTTTCAATTTTATAATTTTGCATAAAATTACCGAAGACACTTTCTAATCAACCTCTTTCCCCATACCTTTTACATTCTCTTGCTCTTATGGGCAGATAAGTTTCAGTGATTTCCTGGCCAAGATTTTCCTTGGGGTTTTTTTGGCTGATTATTTTTTTTTTTTAAATAAGCTACATTAACGAAGAGTATTATTTTCACTTCCTTCCTGTCTTGGGTTCTTAATTAGCTGACCCCTCAGGCATTAGTAAGACCAAAGAGTCTACAACAGCATTAGCTTCGTTCTTTTCAGAAGGTTTTGAAGCCTTCTTTGCATAGCATGCAAGATGAGAATAAATGAAAGAGTTTACTGCTTGCCTCAGGCAACAGTAACTCTTCAAAACTTCACAGCTTCATATTAGTCCCAGACACAGCAATTAACTGGTGTTACGGACACAGAAGATCAAGTTGATGTTTTTCTTTTTTTAAATACAAGTTGAATAATTAAAAAAACTTAAAATCTATTCATTTTTAAACAACAAATGGTTTCTACCTCTTGGTCACTTGGCACATCAGTCTGTGTAAAGAATTCAACCAGTGCATACAGGAAGCCAAGATCTACTCTGAGATCCATCTCTTGAATGAGGACCTTAAAATACCTACAAATGAAAAAAAAAGCCCAATTATTAAGGTGTTTTACAAATATCTGTAACACATAAAACAATCTAGGGTATTTAGGCCACCACTTATGTATTGACTTCAGGTACTTTTTTTTTTTTTTCTTTTTTTGAGGGACTCACCATTATTGATTAAAAGAAGGCTTCCCATAGTGCCCTAAGATAAATACATTTCCTGTAACCAGAACTTTTGTAATCAAGTAGCATTATTTATATAGCACTGTTACACATAGTTTTTTCTAAATTAAAAAAGACTAAAAATCTCCATTAAAAAGACACTTAAAAATCCTTGCTTTACTCTGCAATTATGTGCAAAATACAGGGGGCTGAGCTTTCATCTCTAAGTGCTCTGATCATTCTGCAAATGAGTTGGTGTAAAATTATCTTGCATTATGTTTTCTCTTATAATAATTTTAAAGCTTGATTAAACATAATGAATAGCAAAAGAGATGGAACATGTCAAAATACTTACTTAATATGAGATATTTGTGAATGTCCTGCAGTTCTCATGACAATACTGACATCAGTAAATGGTTTTGGTGCTATGAAGTTGTAAAATAAAAAGATCAACACGGATTTTTATGTGATATACATACCTTTATATTTTTAATACAAAAATGTCATATATGTTCAGGATTTTCTCAATCCTGTAAAGCAGGATTATATAATGGATGTGACTGGCAAACAACTAAGTCAGGGAAAAGAGCAGGAACAGAAAGGAATAGGAAGACAAGGATGAAATGAAACACCAAAATTCTATTTCACTGATCTCTGAAAATGTACCATTTTCATTTAAAAGCAAATTAATATTGATATAATCTTAGACTTATACAATTTCCGTAGTCATGGAATAAGATTTTCCAATGGGTGATACAAAAATATAAACTAAACAAAAAAAAAAGAATTCTGCATATTTAGGCACTCTAGCTTGTAATTGATCATATTTAGAATGAACACCTCACATCTTATTAGCCTCCATACGAAATTACAAGCAGTATTCTTTGTCTCAATCTAGAATTCCTCCTGAGATTACTCGGGTCTTCCAAGTGACTTGGCCCTGAACAAGTTAATGTTCAAGAACTGCAAGACTGCAGTTCTTCATATAGTATACTGACACTGAGCTCTCTGTATTCCAAGCAATGGAGCAGTTGGAAGGCTACATACAAAACAGGTAAAATATAATTTCCCATCTACAGCTTATATATGGTGCTTCACTCACATAGCAATTTTGAGTTCAGACTGGCACTGGCACACATTTCTTATTAGTTAAGATTATTTCAGATAGTTCGCTAGGTCATCCATTGCATGCAAGCAAATTAAAAAATAAACAACATGATTAAGAGTAACATTTATGTGGGGCAGAATGGAAAAAATCAGATGACTAAAGATGTAAAGTGAATCCTCACTGCCCTGAAAATCCAAGTGCCAATAATAAAGAAATGGTGCAACAGATTCACTACCATGAAGATAAGCAACAATTTAATCTTTTCTTATGTT